TTCATTATAAGAGCTTATATTAGTTTATAGGAATACTTAAAAGTATATTTATAATAACGAGATCCTTTAAAATCGAGGTTATAATAAGCGCTTAAAGCGCTAATTTTAATTTATTTATTAACGAAATAAGACTTAAAATAACTTAGATAGGGAACCTTATAAATATTATTATATATATATATTATAAACTAGATTAATAGCTCTTATAATTAATATCGATTATATTCTTATACTTAGCTACTCTCTTAGCTTTAAGGGGCTTAAGCGTAAGGGTCTTATATTTAAGAGGTATTATTATAGCTAGAATAAGAAAGAAAATAAATAAACGGGAATAATAAAAATAAGTTTTTATTAATTATATAAATATTATTTATATATATTAAGTTAACTTATAAAAATTAAAGAAATTAATATAAAGAGAGAGAAAGGTTAATAGAATAGAATTATTAAAACTTATTAATAAAATATATAAATCTTCTATAGAATTTATTTAATTAAAGTAATTTAATCCTATTATTCTTATTAAAAAATAGTTTAATTTATTAAGAATTATTCTAATAAATTCTATAAAAAGTTAATAATTATTCTATTATATTCTATTAATATATTAAAGGCTTAGAGGCCTTAAGAGTACGTATTTAGTAATTATAAGAATATTATTTATTATTAAATTCTAATTTATTTCCTTTATTTTTAGGATTTAGAGGCCTATTCTTATTATTTAATAAATAATTTAATTTATTTCCTTAAAGAGCTATTTATAGATAATATTATTACTCTAAAGCGCTAGGAACTAGAGGCCTAATATTTATAAGAATAATAGGCTTAAGCTATATTTTCCTTATTTCTAATTATTATTTCCTATTATTTCCTATTATTAAATTATTTACTTTAAAATTAGAAGAATAGATCTAATATATTAGAGACTAGAGAATTATAAGTATATTAGAGTAGTTATTAACCTTAATAATAGCTCTTAATATTAATTCTTATAATTATTCTATTTATAAAGAAAAGAAGAGCTAATATTAAATTAATATTAAAGAATTCTATAATTAGGATAGCGATATTTAAGGTATCTAGGATATCTAGGATCTATTGCTCTTAGGAGTATATAAACTATAGCTTACGTAATCGCTAAGAGTAGATAGGTATATCTAACTTATATAGGTAGTAATAACTTAGAGAAGTAGATAAGAATTATATATAAATTAACTATTATAAGACTTATTAGATACCCTACCTATCCAGAGCTCGCAAGCATAGCGGAAGTACTGGATTGGGGTTCACATAAGCAGTGAAGCCCTCTCAACAGGTCCTGCTATTTGCAACCACGTGATGGTGCTCACCAGCGAGCCCTCGATATATAGGAGAATCACGCATGGCTGATAATCACTCGTAGCATGATTTCCTTCTTTCCCACAATGTGAAGATGGCAACCTAGATTCTGGACATGAATAGATATGGGACACATGAATATTGGGATCCCAATGGCGTGGCGGGGAGTGACGGATCGAGTGGGTGGGACTTCGGGGAGTAGCGGGCCTCCATCCCCCCAAACGCACATTTACAGGCTGAGGGGCGCTGGAGCAGTACACCATTGGAGTATTTGCACCCCGGGTTTTCCAAATGAGGGATGGTCACTGATCACGACAGGGGAGCCCGGAGCGATGACAGCGCTGCGAGCCCACCAAGACATCCCACTTTGGCCCACTACACCACTACAGTGCACAGCGGAGTCGCCACGCATGAGGCTTGATCGCAAGCAGCAGACAAAACGTACTTCAGGTTGCCAATCGCAGTGAATTGCGCTGATTTCTTTTCTCATTTTACCACTCCGTCAATCAAATCTCATACCCTAGCAAGAAAATTCTCATCACACCATGTCTATCGGAGTCGGTCTTGTCGGTGGAGGTCAGTCTTGTCCCAACCCTGACCTCGCCAGCATTACTTACACCCCAGAGCGGGGCTATTGCCATCTCTTGCTCGCTCTGACCATGTTTGGCTGACCTCTTTGACTCAGGCATTTGGGCGCGCGAGGAACATGCGGTACGAAAACCCGACATTTCTTCCGCAAGAGGGCGTAATTTTCCACAACTGCGGCTAACGAAGACATACAGCCCGCCATCGAGGCCGCCAAGGACCTCACCCTCAAGGCGGTCTTCTCGAGGACCCTGAAGTCTGCACAATCCATCGCAGACGTCGTAGCAGGATCTCCTCAGCTTTACTCCGATGAAGGGGATGCCGGATTCGACGCTCTCCTGGAGCGAAGCGATGTTGACGCCATTATTGTCTCGTGAGTAGCCCAGTGCTGGCTGGCGAGCTTCAAACACTAACGGCAGCGCAGGCTGCCCATCGCCAATCAGCCGCCGTACATTCGCAAGGCCCTGCTGGCGGGAAAGCATGTCCTCTCTGAGAAGCCCGTCGCAGAGAACGTCAAGGACGCTGTTGAGCTCATCAAGTGGTACCGCTCCGAAATCAAGGGCCTGAGCTGGACCATTGGCGAGAACTGGCGTTTTCTCAAGAGCTACGAGTTCGCCGCCGGTGAGCTGAAGAAAGGCTCTCTGGGCAAAATTATCGGCTTTCATGGCCGCCAGCATGGATGTGTTCCCCTGGACTGGAAGTTCAACCGTAAGACGCCCTGATATTACCTACAAAGACGTGCCACACTTGCTGACTGTAGTCTTCTAGTCACCGAGTGGCGAAGGAAACCTACCCATCAGGGTGGCTACCTCCTTGATGGAGGTGTTCACTACATGGCCGGTCTCCGTCTCCTGCTTGCTTCCCAGTCGAGTGACCAGGTTGCCCGTCTGTCTTCGTTCACCACCCAGATTAAGGAATACCTTCCTCCCGTTGACACGGCCGGTGTCATCATCAAGACCAAGGCTGGCGTGACTGGAACGTTCCAGATATCCAGGGGCACCAGCCTGAGCGCCGATGAGTGGACTGTTGCGTGCGAGAACGGGTGGATCAAGATCGAGAACGAAAAGGTCACAATTTCCCGCGATGGCACAGAGACGGTTGAGACTGTGGCTAACGAGAGGTCTGGAGTTCCTCCGGAGATCCGTGCCTGGGGAGAAGCCCTTGTTGCCGGCAAAGTACGTCCGGAGCAGGAGCCTGAGGCGGCTCTTGCAGACCTGGAATTGGTGAGTCGTGATTTTCCTCAAGAATGCAAAGCTTATGAAGCTAACAAGTTATCTTTCAAGATCGAACTCATGCTTCGAAGTGGAGAGAGCAACGGGGCGCCTGTCGATACTCAGCATCAGGACGTGTGAGCGCTCTATTGTGCACATCATCGTCGATGACAAGCTGCGCCAATACACTGTCATGTCCATAATTCACGGCTAGAAGGTAGCGTTATCGGAGAGCGTTCGTTTCTATTTTGATCATACGACGTTCTCGAATCGAGAGCAGGGCATCAAAGGGCGAGCGAGGAAGGCAGACTGTACTGGGAAGTGTCCAATCGAAAGGCATGCAAGACGACATGAACCTGGTGATTGATTAGAGAATACACTGGTAGAAGATTGATGCCTCGCGTAAGCCATCTCTTTCGACTCCATCCTTTGAATATAATCTTCATGGCATTTGTTATCGGCACCCTTCCCTCTGCAGCAGCGTGACAAGGACTCCAGCAAATCACCACGGGTGCACCTTCGCCTGTTTTGCCACAAATCGATCCGTTTCTCCATCTCTATCCCCGCGAACCATCTCCAAGATTCCCTGGGCACTGGTTTCTGCCGACTCTCCGCCATTGATGATTTTGTTCTGTCTGTCGCCCTCTCCTGCTAGGTTCGTAACGACATATCCAGGCTCATGCCCAAAGCTTGGCAGGATGCTCCCAAGTTCTGTACTGGTAGGCCATGGATGCGGTCAACATGTTGAGGGCTGCCTTGCTCATGCGATATACCTCGCCAGTCACATGGTACTCCCTGATGGACTTGTCCATCCAAAGGGCGATGGAGCCGAGCGAAGACGAAACGTTGATGATTCGAGGGTCGACAGACGTCTTCAGCAAGGGCTCCAGAGCCCAAGTCAACAACAGGACGCCAAATACATTCGTGTTGAAGACCTCTTGGAGGTGCTCGCGTGAGACAGGAGCGTCATGGCTATAAATGCCGGCATTGTTGACCAAGACATCGATAGCATCGAATCTCACTGCCAATTGCACGGTGGCCGCTTTGGTGGAGTCAACAGAGGCAATTTCAAGCTCGAGGAAGCTCAGCGTGCCAGCCGGTTTGCGAGCTTCTATTTCAAGAAGAGCTTTGCGGCCTTTGGTTTCTGAACGGGCGGCCATGATGACATGGTTGTCTGCTGAGGCGTTGGCAAGGATGTGCGAAGTATCGTACCCGACTCCCGAATTGGCGCCTATACACAAGGTTAGCTCATAGCATATGGCTATGGCGCCTTGCTACTTACCAGTGATGAGTATGACTCTTTTGTTTGACGCCATTTTTGAGGATTTCACGTTACGGCGGTAGTAGATGAAGACTTGAGGCGACTTCAATTGAAAACGATACAGCGACGACAACCAGCTGAAGGATATAGACAGTTGACTCTCAGATATATCGTCGACCATGAGCAGCATGGACATGATCAATCCTATTTTCATTGCCATTTGGATTCGTCAGTATACTTGTGCTACGCGTATATGGAGTTAGGACATGTTCATAGTTCGATCTCCGAGCATCAATACCGTCTTTAACCCCAGAGCCAGATTTGTGACGTAGCACATATCTTCCGTAGTTCGAGCAGCTTCCGTGCTGGCCTAGGAATATTGATATACACACTTCTAGGCTAGCTGGAGCTGTTGATGATAAATTGTTGCCATCATGACGCCCCCATATAGTGGACGAACTGGTTGGCGCCAGTCTTGACATGAGACCCAAGGACTGGACCTGGCCATTCTGGCTTCACCAATGGCCAAGCCTCGTTCCCGTCGGCCAATTGATGGACAGTGCTACTATCTGCATCATGTGTCTTTGCGAAGCCCCTGCAATGAGCCAGCGTAAGGGTAGCTGACCAACGGTACTGCGTCAGTATGATGAACCCCGCACCAGTACCGTGATGTGCCTCCTTGTCGTCCTTTGGTCATTTGCTGTGCAAACCTTGGGTCGCTCGTCCCGATGATGCACTGCACACAATTGTTGATGTCCAATAGGTGCTGAGAGAGCTAGACCAGTGCACGTGTCGAACAAGCATTGGCTTCATGTCGCCTTTGTAACACGCGAGAACCTATGCAGAATGACAGGTTACGTGATTTTATTGAGCTTCTATAAAACATCGCAGTGCCTGCACGCAGCGGTGGTTCTCTCCAGAGGTGCACATCATTTCACCCCACACCACCCTTGCCTTGGGTAACGATATCACGAACCTTAAGCCGAACCGCGATATCAATTTACTTGCCTACTTCTGCAAACCCTCAGACCCAAGATGGCGGCAAAGAAGATCATTGCCGTGTTTGGGGCCACTGGCCAGCAAGGTGGTTCGGTGGTTTCCGCGATCCTTCAAGATGCCAAACTTTCGAGTGAATGGTCTGTTCGTGCTGTGACCCGGGACACCACGAAAGAGTCCGCCAAGAAGCTCGCGGCCCAGGGCGCCGAGACTGTCCAGGTAACTCCGCTGATATGGGCGTCACTGAGCCCCATGTCCTCGTGTAGATCTCCAAGCTGACAGCCACACAAAGGCCGATTTATCTGACAAGAAGTCGGTCGTCCAAGCGATTGCTGGGGCTGAGGCCGTGTTCGCCGTGACCAACTACTGGGAGTCCCTGAATGCAGAGCTAGAGGTCAAGCAGGGAAAAGACATTGCCGATGCCGCTAAAGAAACTGGCGTCAAGCACTTGATTTGGAGCTCTCTCATGGACGTCAAGAAATGTAAGTGCCAAAGACGCTGTCGAGCCTCGTTGATCAGCGCAGCTGACGTGGCGTGCCTCAGTGACCAACGGCAAGCTCCCCCACGTCTACCACTTTGACGGCAAGGCTGCGGTGGAGGAGCATACCCGCTCTCTTGGCATCCCCGCAACCTTCTTCATGGCAGGCTTCTACATGACCAACATTCCCGGCCAGGCACTGCGCGCCGACCCCCCCGCTCACGTCTGGACTCTGGCGTTGCCGATGCCCGAGAGCGCACCCATTCCCGTCTTCGATATCACCGACACGGGCAAAGTTGTCAAATCCATCCTCCAGAACAAGGAAAAGGTCCTGGGAAAGCGGGTGCTGGGTGCTTACAAATACATGACGCCGAAGGAGCTCCTCGAGGAGTTCAAGGCCGTGTTTCCCGAGGCTGGCAAGGATGCGACCTTCCTCTCGCTTCCCCACACGGCTTACACCGACATTTAAAAGGCATGGGGCTCCCCGACTTTGCCGCAGAGGGGTGGCTCGAGAACATGCGTCTCATGGACGAGGGCGGCTACTACGGCGGTGCATCTCTGGACGAGTCGCACGCGCTCCTCGAGGAGCCTTTGACGAGCTGGAAGGAATTCATCGCTAAGGCACCGGCATTCAAGGATCTGATGTAAGAGGATGTTTCGTTTCGATAGGTTGCCGATTCCCCGCCCTTGATTAGTAGTGTGTTCACTTCACTCGCTCCCTGATGCAAGTCCGCCCAAGGGCCCCACCGAACCAGAGACACGCTGGTCTAGGTTTTGCGAAAGTGGTAGTGTCAGGTACATCTGATAAGAGTTTGGTGAGGCGTTCCAGCTGATCTGGTAATGTGTGACTCGTGAATACGCTGGCCTCGGATCTCCGTCTCCCGCCCGGGCCTCCGGCCACTAATGGCTCCCCGAGACCCACCAACCAAACAGCTTGTGCTTGATCCACGTCGGCACCCTCGGATGATGGTCATGACACACTGACGTCCTGAACTATAATCCAGACGTTACCTTTCGTTTTGTCACTGCACTTTCAAATTGGCATCAACGCCTCCTTACTGTTTGTCCAACGTCGTTTTTTTTGTGGCCGGCTGGTCGAATCATTGCACCATGTCTGCTCCCGCGCCCCGGCGCATGTTCCTGTATCCAGATCCTGTCCGAGCGTAAGCCTCTCCAGCACTTATCTTGAGGTTTCATGCGCCTCACGGGAAGAGGCGCGTCAAGCTGATTTGCAGTGTAGACCAAATGTACCGCAGAGGAAAGATGGCGGCCCGAACCCCAGGATATACGACTGGTTCCTCGTAGCGGCTGCATTCTTGTAAGTTGTCACGATGACCTGTAGCGTAGCACGCCCTCCCATGTTCTGAGGCTGATGACGCGAACAGTATGGAGAATGTCGGCTTCATTCGCAGAGCCGCTTGGAAAAACGCCAAGTTCGGGTCGCTCCGAGACATCTGGGACTACATCGTCACCGTGGAGCCACGACATGACCCTGCCGTGTTCCCTCTCGTAGACGATGCTAGCCACGCCGAAGTGAAGCCCGCTGATCACGCTGAATTGGAGGGCATCTTGGATCAACACCAGTTTGCGCGCAAATCGTCCATGTTCCCAAACACGGCGGCATACTACCGATCTCAGTATCTATCAGGAGAACTCACGCCGTTGGATGTCGCACATGCAATTCTGCCCCTCATCCGCCGCGACACGTCGCCGCCCGGCGAACATTCCGTGGCGTGGATCGAGGTGCATGCTGAGCTGGTACTCAGAGCAGCCGAGGCCTCGACGATTCGATACAATGAGAAGAGATCCCTCGGGCCGCTGGACGGTGTACCAACGGCCGTAAAAGATGAGTACGATGTCCTTGGCTACCGTACTTCTCAAGGCGGCATACATGACTATGCTGAGTTTCTTGAAGTCGGGCCTGGGGCTCGGGGCAATGTAGGTCAGCCTTCTTGGTGTGTGTCAAAACTGGAAGAGGCTGGTGCAGTCATCTACGGCAAGCTGTCATTGCATGAATTTGGCATGGGTAAGTTTGCTCCATCTCTTACCTCAACCCTTCTCACCCTCTGATCATCATTAATTCTTCTAGATACCGCTGGGTACAACATCTTCCATGGAACGCCGAGAAATCCCTACGACCCATCCTACTATACGGGTGGCAGCTCGTCAGGTTGTGGATATGCCGTTGCAACTGGCATCGTGCCCCTGTCCATGGGAGCCGACGGTGGCGGCAGCATTCGTCTCCCTGCATCCTTCTGTTCCGTCTTTGGACTCAAACCCACTCACGGAAGGGTATCTTTTTACCCGGGCCAGAATCACAGCGGAACGGCTGCTGTGCGTGGTCCGATTGCATCCGACATGCGCTCCCTGATTGCCCTTTACGAAGTCACAAGCGTGCCTGGTCCCCAGTCCTTCTTCCCGCCAGCCAAACCTTTCGACTTTTCATCAGAGGGAGAGCGGACCAAGGTCTTGGGTCTCCCAGCGAAATGGATCTCCCGTGCCGACCCAGAGGTTCAAAAGATCTGCCAGAACCTCATGGACCGTCTTGTTGACCAAAAGGGCTACACCGTCGTTCCCATTGACATTCCGCTTGTGGCCGAAGGACAGATAGCACACGCCCTCACGCTCCTCACAGACGCATCTAGTCTCGTGCAGAGCACAAAAGGCATCTCACCCGCCAATCGCATCCTCCTGGCGCTTGGACGCACCACACCGGCCTGGGACTTTCTTCTCGCCCAAAAGCTGCGGCGGGTGCTGATGGAGCACCTGTCCTGGCTGTGGCAGCAGCATCCTGGGATGATCATTGTCACCCCTACGAGCGCCAGCGCCGGTTGGCCGATTCGGAACGAAAAGGAGCTGAAGTATGGTATTAGCGATGGAGATCAGACGATGAAGACAATGGAGTATGTTTGGCTGGCCAACTACTGTGGCGTCCCGAGCATCACTGTTCCCGCGGGATACGCCATGGCTGAGGGTAAAACTGGATCTGCCACTTCTCCAACTGTGCCTGTTGGTCTGATGGGCACCGGCGAGTGGTGCTCAGAGGAGGCTTTGCTGCGTTTTGGTCTCGATGCGGAGGATGTTGGTCGCGATATTCTGCGTCACCCACCCAATTGGGTCGATGTGGGACGTCTGGCAAAGCAAGAGAAGGAGCGTACTGGCTCTGTCACGGAGGGTTCGGGGTCTGTGGTGACTGAGGGAGATGAGGTGCCTTTGACAGTATAATTGGCCGGCGGCTAGAGTGTCTGTCCCTTAGATTCAGAAGTAGGTGTGATTCCATATTCACTTCACGGTTGACACTAGAGTCCATGTCAGTCTCATCGAGGGAACAAGATATCTGAATCTGGGGTGTTAAACAAGTCTGGGGTGAGAACACCTTTACTTTGGCCAGATAGAGCGCATGTGGGTTCGAATTCAAAGAAACCTGACCGGGATTGTCAGTGTCGTGTATTTCCAGCTTCAGAACCCTAACGTCAAAGGTAAGTGAGTGAACTAGGTAGTTTCGTTCACAATGAGTGGATCGTGGCTGTTAGCATGTTTGACTGATTGACTCCCAAGGGCCCCCCTTCCGAGCACAAATTACAACATCAATACTTCTTCCTCCCGCGTTGGCAAATGAACGATTGGAAAATAGTGCTTCTACTTAAGTGCACTGGTCTAATAGCACAATGGTGTGATAGCCAATGCCTCCAGAGGTTGAGCCCAGCACTCGGATTGACAAGCCCTAGAATATTGTGCAATTCCGAGCGAGCTTCAACACCGCTGGTGATACGTGGTCAACAGACGCATGACCTTCAGCCATATGATTGCACGCTGGACCGCAGTCGCATACCAAAACAAAGACGGGAAAGATTTGCGTCTCCCCGCCACTGCCTAACAATCTCCACCTACCTCATTCTACGCTTTCAGGAGTCAAGTGAGGCAAGGAGCGCCGTTAGCGGCGTGGCAGGATTAAGCCACATTCATATCACGAAGCAGATCGCAGTGCAGGAATAAGAGCTTCAGACCAATCAATGCATGAAGTCAGCCAAGGATCGTCGCCGCCAGGGCGCTGCGTGTCGTTAGTCCGGGCTTATTTTGGTGGCGCGGACAAGGGGTCGAGTTTAGCATGCAGGAGCTGAAAGCTTTCGCGCGGTACCCTGCAGCTATCACGACAGACCTTGAATGCTTAAAGCCTTGGCGGGCTGTCGTTCAAGATATTTAGGGACCGACGCCGCTCTCGCTCACGCGGAGTCTGGCGCGAGCCCTATTGCTAAAAGCATCTGACGATCCCACATCAACGCCTTCGCGGAGCCCATTCTCTACGAAGAAGAAGCCTCTCCTCGCCTGATCCATTGAAAGACGAACAAAGAGCACAGCATGGCTAGCGACGTACCCCGTGCCTCGGGCGGCTCCAAGATCCTCGCGTTCCTCGACATCATCGTCAAGCTGGCTGCCACTGGAGCGCTTATCGGCATTCTCGTCATGCTTCTCAAAATCAACGACACCCTTGTCAAGGTGGTCGACGGCGACAATGTAATCAATGTTGGCTTGCGCTACAGCGGATCGAGTCCTCTGCCCATCAGCGCCGTACTCGAGAATGGCTTCTCGCCAATCGGGATCAACATTGAAAGCAACCTTGGTGAAGGACTGGCAGGCCAGTTTGGATCCGCAATGCCGTTCAGTAGATTGAGACACTCAGCAAGATTTCTTCATTATCAAGAACGCAGAGAGTCGAGTATCTGTATCCACGGCATTGTCCCACCTTACGACACCCACCACATACCCGCCGATCCATTTCTATTGCACAACGCATTTTCGTCAATCTATACGCTGATACCACTTGGGAAGGGTTGAACACAACAGCGAGACGGATTCGCGAGGTTAGCCATCGTTTGGTCTGTTGCAGCGTTGATGAACATAATTATGACACAAGAACCGCACTCGGAGGATATACCCTGCCGCAACAAGAAACGGATGTCGACACATCTCACAAGATCTGAGGTCCCTTTGCGTTGTTCTTCTCAAGGAAGTGACGCCGAATACTTTGGATACTGCGCACATGGCTGGACGACGCCATCAGTAGTGCTTACCAACTTCCTCGACATCGCCTAGAGCATCGCTGTTTCTCCTTTCTCGTCAGTCCTAATTTGCGCCCTCGATACTAGTAATAAAGTACGAGAATGCTTACAACATACCCTGTTCGAACATACTGTGCTCTGAATCTTTAAGCCTGTGAGCTCGCAATCCCCACTTGGGTTTACGAGCTGTGAATTCTCAGACGTACCGCATCTTTTAGATTGTGTTTCCGCCGTGAATCATGGAATGATGTGCCAAGAGAAAGGCTGAACAGCTCAAATCATCAAGTTTGGCCATGTAAGTTGGAGTTAGAGCTTGAGAAGAGCCTAGAAGGGAGCTAATACTGACTAGTACGCCTGCAAAATTCGATCGTGATATCAAATGCCTCGTTGGCTTAGTGGTAAAGCGCATCACTAGTAATGATGAGATCACTGGTTCGATTCCAGTACGAGGCATCACTTTTGCCAGTACACGCCGTTATTGAACATTGAAATTCAATATCTTTTGGCTGGCATGAAGCGCCGAAAGAATCTCTGCAATCTCGCGTGGATTCTGCACCAGTCCATACGGCTTCAGAAGCCACTGCAGCGGACCGCATTGCATTTTTAGGCGGCCTGGGGCCAACCAACCAAGGCGCAGCAAGTGTGCGCAGTGCAGTGAAACTTGAATGCACTTGTCAAGGTTTCTCTGTCGACGAAAGCGTCTGAATAGCCTTTGATGTGCTGTTCAGCTGTTGTCTTGGCCAAGATATTTAACCTGGGAAGAAAGCCTGCTAGGCTTCCATCGTGGCTGAACTCTTCTTGGCATTGTCCATCACCCTATGCACTGGGCATAGCACGCGTTGCTCGAGGATTTGTTGAAACCAAGCGAGATTCTTAAAATGTTCAAGCGACCATCTGATGTCACGATAGGCTGCAATAAAGTTGGATGACCATGTCTGGCATGCATGCGAGCCCAAGATTGTAGATCTCATCAATATCTTCCGGCTCCAAGCCCGAGCAATGGCATCACCAATGCGAACATACGCAGTCGTCTTGGTGCTGTATCTGTGATAGTCCACATACAGCAAATTGTCGCAGACGGAGCGGCGGCGTATCGCTACCCCGTCGGAGCAGGGTCCGAACGGGACAGGCGTCGGACTGGAAATCCGTAGAGAGTTGGTCGGCGTCTTCACATGGCGCTTCGGCCGAGAAGCCGCGGTTTGTGGGCGTTTGTGGACCGCCAAATTTGACGTCAAAATTTAGCGAATCATGCCGTGTGAATGAGGCTTGAGAGTGCCGATCGAGGTTCCACAAGACGAGGCAAGGTTGTTGCGGAACGGGAAAGTCAAGTGGCAGCAAGCCTCGGTTCGGAAGAATTGTTGAGAAGCAATCAGTGACACGGACGCGCTTCCCCTTGCCCCAAGTTTTCTCATGATGCATTGAAACCGGCATGGTAAGTAGTGGGCCAACGATAGTCCTTGATCTAGGTAGAAGCAATGAACCTCGGGTTCTTGTGGGGATAGTCGGCCGCCGGATATTGAGCCTGCGAGGATCAAGCACGCAAACCAGACCAGGCCTTCGTACCGAGTGTGGGATGTCTCGCATATCAAGCCACTCGGTCGCTAACGAGCGTGAACTGTGAAACCCCTGAACGGGTCTCCATACCGAGTGTGTCCTCTATCCAGGAGTGCCTAGCTCATCAGCGGGCTTCAGAGTTTGGGGCCGTCCCTAAATAGCAGCGCGCTCGAAGAGGCAGAATTCATGGCAGACGGAGGAGTTCTGAGGCTGCTCGTGGGGTTTCTTGGCCTATGTACGTGTATTGACTTCATCGCGCATGGTCCGCGAGTCAACGAACAGATGAACACAATATGATCGGTCGGGCAGCCAGCCAAATGGCCGCCGGCCGGAGCCACCGATCATGCTGTACGAGAATAACTAAATCGGGCCAGGGAGTGCCGACACTGCAGATGATTGATTACCCTGAATCTCAGTGGTGGTCGGCACCCACCCGCTACCACCCTGTGTTCGGTCCCTATTCCGCAGGCCCTTGTTAGCCCGGCCCCTGTTCGTACCATCGTTCATTTTTGCTGTGCTGGTAGAGGCGGATTGAAACAGTCCAAAACGTCACCATGGCATTGCTGGTCCGACCTGCTTGCGTAACGCTGAGCGAGGGCGAGGCGAGCCACTGGGGTACTACGACTTGTTTGAGAGCGGAATCTATTGGAACAAACATGCCGCGTAGCCCTCCGGTCCGTTTCTGTAAAAGGCGCCGGGCGGATGAGGTTTGGCGCAAATCATCGCACGGGCGAAACAGCACCGTACCCTGGGTACCGGACCTTCAGGTAGGAGAGGAATGTGTATATCACCAGCGGTGAACGAGGCCTCGATCTAACTTTTGCCTACCCAACCCGGCCCATTTGAGCAAACAGACAATACCCCTAACGTCCTTCTCATTCATATCGTAGCATCTTCTTCCTCTTCACCTCCATCGCTAGTCCCATTCAATACAGTCCGCAACTATCCAGACAATGGCTGAAGAAACACCTATACCTGAGCCCCAGGGCCTGCCGCTCATTGGCAACGTTAAGGAGATGGACCCCGATTTCCCATTGGGATCGATGACATCAATGGCCGACCAATTTGGTACTGCTACACCCCTCTTCTGGACTGATGCAGGGTCGCCATCATGACCGATGCGGCCGATGAGAGAAAGCATCAAGGCCCTTGGCTAACAGTCGTCCGCCTAAAGGAGAAATCTACCGACTGAGGTTCCCTGGCAGGACAGTCGTCCTGGTGTCTACCCAGAAGCTCGTCAACGAGACGTGCGACGAGAAGCGATTTAAGAAGTCGGTCAACTCATCATTAAATGTGCGCCAGGAAAGTCCTTTCTCGTGATACGCTCTCCATTCTGATCCCTGTGCAGCAAGTAAGAAACGGTGTTCACGATGGTTTATTCACAGTGAGTTTCCTGTCTCTGCTGGCCACGTCCCCTACCATCAAATGAGCGACCTGACAGGCAGTGAAGGCGAAAATGGGAGAGGAGAACTGGGGGATCGCCCACAGGATTTTGATGCCCGCATTTGGGCCCCTTTCTATTCGCAACATGTTCGACGAGATGCACGACATTGCCTCTCAGCTCACCCTCAAATGGGCCCGTTATGGTCCCGACACGCCCATCATGGTCACTGACGATTTCACGCGACTGACGCTCGATACCCTGGCACTGTGTTCCATGGGCTTCCGTTTTAATAGTTTCTATTCTCCGGTCTTGCACCCTTTCATCGAGTCCATGGGTGATTTTCTGGTCGAGTGCGGCCACCGCGCGAACAGGCTACCGCTGCCGTCGCTCTTCTACCGCGCCAGGGATCAAAAGTTTGATGCTGACATTAGTGTCCTGCGGACGACCGCCAAGGAGGTCCTTGAGTCGCGTAAAGCCGGCAAGAGTGATCGTCGTGATCTACTGACGGCCATGCTGGAAGGCGTTGACCCCAAAACTGGCAAGAAAATGTCAGACGAGAGTATCATGGATAACCTCATCACGTTCCTGATCGCCGGCCACGAAACCACGTCTGGTCTCCTGTCATTTGCCTTCCTCGAACTGCTAAAGCACCCAGAGTCCTATCAGAGGGCTCAGAAGGAAGTCGACGACGTTTGTGGAAAGGGCACGATCAAGGTCGAGCACATGGCAAAACTACCTTATATTTCGGCCGTTCTCCGCGAGACACTTCGTCTCAACGCCACCATTCCCCTCTTCACGGTTGAGGCCTTCGAAGATACCCTGCTCGGCGGGAAATATCCCGTGAAGCAGGGCGAGACCATCGTCAACCTGCTCGCCAAGTCCCAGCTCGACCCGCTTGTCTTCGGCGAGACGGCCAACGATTTTGTCCCTGAGCGCATGCTTGACGCCGAGTTCGACCGCCTCAACAAGGAGTTCCCCAACTGCTGGAAACCGTTCGGAAACGGCATGAGGGCCTGCATCGGCCGTCCGTTTGCCTGGCAGGAGGCCCTTCTGGTCATGGCCATGCTCCTGCAAAACTTCAACTTCATCCTCGACCCAACCTATCACAAGCACCTCAAACAGACGCTCACCATCAAGCCCAAGGATATGCACATGCGCGCCGTCCTCCGCGACGGTCTGACTCCCACGACACTCGAGCGCCGTCTTGCCGGGCTCACCGTACAGCCTGAAGCTACGAAGGCGACAGAGGAAATGACAAGCTCCAGCGCCACGGCCGAGGGTATCCCCCTGACCGTCCTCTACGGCTCCAACAGCGGCACATGCGAGGCCCTCGCTCAACGAGTTGCTTCCGACGCGGCATCACACGGTTTCCGCGCCACAAAGGTGGACTGTCTCGACAGTGCCAACCAGACGCTGCCGACTGATCAGCCCGTGGTCATTGTCACGGCTTCATACGAGGGCAACCCTCCAGACAACGCCGGCCACTTTGTCGCCTGGGTTGAGGGTATGAAAAAAGAGGACGCACCTCTGAAGGACGTCAACTACGTCGTCTTTGGCTGCGGCAACCGTGACTGGGTGCAGACATTCCATCGTATTCCGAAACTGGTCGACACCCAGATGGAAGCGATGGGCGGAACCCGCCTTGCGGAAATAGGTCTCACGGACGTTTCCACGGGCGAGGTTTTTACCGAATTCGAGACGTGGGAAGACGATATCCTCTGGCCCGCTCTGGAACGCAAGTACAGGACCGAAACCAAGGGCGATGCGGCGCCAACTCACAAGATCAAGGGCATGAACGTTGAGATCACGAACCCCCGAACCTCGACCCTCCGCCAGGACGTAAAGGAGGCCACTGTTGTCGATGCGCGAGTCCTCACCCAGCCAGACGGCGAGCAGCAGGAGGTCAAGAAACACATGGAAATCAAGTTGCCAGAGGGTCTGAGCTACAAGTCTGGCGATTACCTCGCGGTGCTGCCCATCAATCCCAAGGAAAACGTGCACAGGGCGATGCGATGCCTTCAACTGCCCCGTGATGCTCATTTGAGCATCACAACGGATGGGCCGACGTCACTTCCCGTCAACGAGAGCGTGCAGGCCTATGACCTGCTGAGTTCCTACGTCGAGCTGGGCCAACCTGCTACCAAGAGGGTGGGTGCTCATTTTGCAGAATTGCAAACCCCCTCCAACTCTCCTCTTACTGACAGATTTATTCCAGAACCTTCTTGCGCTTGCCGAGGCTGACAGTGACGACAAGACCAAGGCGGAGATCACTCGCCTGTCCGGTGACGCCTACGCCGAAGAGATCAGCAGCAAGCGAGTGTCCGTCCTTGACGTTCTCGAGCGTTTCCCCAGCGTGCAGCTGCCCATCGGTCTGTTCCTCTCCATGCTGCCTCCCATGCGTGTGCGACAGTAGTAAGTTCCTTCTTTTCCTGCGTCGGCGAAACATGAGAATGGCAAAAAATCCCATCTACGCAAAACGGCACAAATGCGTGCCGCAAAAGTCCGACGACGCGCGCTGACAGCTCGCAGCTCCATTTCGTCCTCCCCAATGTGGAACCCCGAGCACGCAACCATCACCTTCTCCGTGCTCAACGCGCCTTCCCTCTCCGGCTCGGGCCAGCAGTACATGGGCGTGGCGTCGACGTACCTCGACTCGCTGGCGCCGGGCGACGTGCTCCACGTCGGCGTCCGCACGCCGAGCACGGCCTTCCGCCTGCCCTCGGACGGCGAGAACACGCCCGTCGTCTGCGTCGCCGCGGGCACGGGGCTCGCGCCCTTCCGCGCCTTCGCCCAGGAGCGCGCCAGCATGATCGCCGCCGGCCGCAGGCTGGCGCCGGCGCTGCTGTTCTTCGGGTGCCGCTCGCGGGCGCACGACGACCTGTACCGCGACGAGCTGGAGCAGTGGGAGAGGCTCGGCGCCGTGAGCGTCCGGCGGGCGTACAGCCGCGAGGCCGAGGCCAGCGAGGGGTGCAGGCACGTGCAGGATCGCATGTGGCATGACCGTGACGAGATTGTGGCGCTGTGGAGGAGGCAGGCCAAGGTGTTTGTCTGTGGCTCCAGGGGGGTGGCCAACTCGGCGAGGGACATGGCGATCAAGCTGAGGATGGAAATGGACAAGCAAAAGGGTGCCGCGGCGGATGAAAAGAGCGCTGCAGAGTGGATTGAGTCGTTGAGGAATGTCCGCTATGTCATGGACGTCTTTGATTGAAGAGCGGGTAGGAAAAGGGGCTGCACGAGCTGGCGTATTGGTGTCTGAAATGGTCGATGGTCTTGACGGTAGCATGAATACTGTCTATCAAGAATACTTGTTTTCTAGCAACAACGAAGTGTTGGGTTGACTGCAACCCGGGGGTTTGATCACATTTGGTTGTTGATCACGTTTGGTCATGTTCGTTGGCTTGGAGCATGACCTTCGCTCAACCTGGTCTCAATGAGGGTCGAAACTGGCCATGGTCGAACGATATCCGCAGACTTCGGATAGAGGATACATCAAATAACTGTACCAGTCGAAATGCGTCCATTGTCACTTTAGGGCCAGTCATGAACACTCCGTTACAACTTGTCGATTCTCTGGTCGAGACAGGACAGCAAGAAACGTCCAAGTTCGAATATAAGTTCTAACTCTGTATCAATCTTACGTCCTCATCTGATATTCGCGCCACCACGCTAATGATCATGTTCATGCCAATCCATAAAATCGTTACTGCGTCCAGCAATGCCGTACTTCTGCTTCAGGACCCCACGGTCTGCCACGCATCAGGCTTGTCAGCCTTAAGCGTTGCCGTTGTAGGCGATGAGGTTGGGGCTGCCGCCACGGATGCCGGTGGCACGGCCAGAGGTGCCGAGGGCAACGATGCGGTTCCTGAGAGCAGCAGGGGTGTTGATGTTCTCAAAGGCGGCGAGATAGAGGGCAAGGCCGGCAACGTGAGGGGCGGCCATGGAGGTACCAGTCAGGGTCCTGGTGGAGGTGTTGGAAGTGTAACCAAGAGACAGGACGTTGGTGCCAGGGGCGAGGATGTCGACAGAGGGGCCGAAGTTGGAGTAGCTGGTGTCCTCGGCCCAGGCGGAGTTGATGGCACCAACAGTCAGGGCGTTGGGGGCGTTGGCGGGAGACCTGGTGGAGGCGGCGACGTTCTCGTTTCCGGCGGCGGCGACGCTGAGAATGCCAGAAGAGTAGGCGGCGTTGATGGCGCTGGTCCAAGCAGTCGAGGTGGGACCGCCTTGATATTGGTGTTAGTTACACATGCACAGAGCCAGAAAGCACAGAGCCAGAAAGCGACGGGACCCTGGAACTTACCGAGCGACAGGTTGATGACGGAGCGGCTGGCACGGTTCTTGCTGACAATGTCGTTCACAGCCCAGTTGAAGCCGTCAAGAATGATGGAGGTCGAAGACGTGCGGCCGACAAAGACCTTGACGTCAATGAGAGTGGCAGCCTTAGCAACACCGTAAGTCGTGCTGCCGATGGTGCCAGCAACGTGGGTACCGTGACCGATGCTCTGTAAAGGGGGCGTCAGTAAAACTCGCAAGGTATGTGCTCTGATTTTTGGTGCACGTACGTCAACCCACTCTCCGCCAGCGGCGTTGTAGCCACGGATGGCGCGGCCGCCAAAGTTGGTGTGCGTGGTCAAGATGCCACTGTCAACGACGTAGGCAAACGTGCCAGCGCCGGCCGAGTTGTCGTAGCGGTACGAAGTCGCGCCCGAGGTGCGGCTGGAAATGGAAGCGAGACCCCAGGGGGCGCTGGACTGGGTGGTGTAGGCCGACAGAGTGTAAATCTGATCAGGCTCAACGGCAGCAACCTAGAGAGTAGTCAGTCACTGAAAGCCACACCGGGGTCCATCAGCCCTTCGGGAAACGTACGTCAGGGTTGTTCTTCAGCTCCGCAACGACAGACTCGTCAAAGGTTCCGGCGTAGGCGTGGAAGTTCTTGATGTCGTAGGTCTTCTCGACACCGGCGAGATCCCGGCGGCCGAGGCTGCGCTTGTGGACGTCGCTGACCCAGTTCAAGTGGGAGGCGACGTTGTCGGTCGAGATGCCGGGCTTGAGGGTGACGATGTACTTGTTGGCAACATCAGGGGTGCCCGGGGCGACTGGCGCAGCGGCCGCGAAGGGCAAGAGGCCCAGGAGAACGTTCCTGAAGTTGACCATGATGGCGATAGAAGGGGTTGGGAGACCGGATAGACAGGCAAGACCGAGAAGTTGGAAGCAGATGAGAAGGCTGATGCTGATGAGTGGAATGAACAGGCTTGATGGGCGCGAGCGACCTCTTTTGTACTCCGCTTCAGTTCCTCAGTCCGATGCCCATGGCTGTGGTCCATCATGGCATTCACCTCCACAAGTCGTTGAGTAGAGGTAATCCAAGAACAGCAGTCATGTCGTGATAGCATGGGGTATCTGGCGCCCAAGCTTACAACATGAGGGGATAACATGCTACCATTTCGAGCTTCCTGATCGGTTCATAAGAGCGAGAGCTAAGGATGGCGGCAGTTACTCAGATGAATGACGGGGTCGTCAAGTTAGGCGCAGGTCCGGGGTGTGTCCCTGTTGCGCTGCGATCTAACGTCTCGGCAGCACCCTTAAGCTTGCCGTGATCTGGCGGCTAGACGAATCTGATGTCCGAACGGCAGGCATTCGCCGTGGCCAAGACCCCTTGATTGGACATGCGCCGGCCGGTGCGCGCTCATCCGATGGGGGTTCCTCGCTGTGTTGAGGGGTGGGGGACCTGATCTGTCCAGGGTGCGTGAGGTATCTGGTGTCGAACTGCCTGATTGGGACGACGGTGCCGAAAGCTCGTGATCTTGCCGCATGTTTTGCGACGCGCCATTCGACCAGCGAGGAAATGACTGCCGATAACTCTGGGGCACAGATCGGCAGTCGCATTAACATTTGTGGGTTAGGTTTGGGTGCAGAGGACACCGTCGGCGGTCCTAGAGTCACCATTGAGAGGACCGAGAGGCCATCAAGGGATGGCAACTCCTGCTTTGAGAGATGGACCTGCTTGCCTGTCGAGGCCCAAGAAGGCAACTGGTAAGAAAAGACGCGCTCATGCGAGCATAAAGTTGCATATGGCGGCATTGGACATGACTTGACGTGCATCTCCTGTATCGCGAGTCTCTGCCCCTTGGTCTTATCAATCAAGGCACAGGAATGTTGTGAGCGTCGAACGCGGGGTATCCGATGCTGACCCGGGCGGCCATGGCCAACTTCTTACAAAACTGGGGAGCGGCCGATCGCATGGAGATCCGGTTTCTGCCGTGCCGATGACTTGACACGAAGGTCTCGGAGGTTCGTTGGCTACTGTTGGCTGGTCCCTTGGAAATGAGGGATTGCGCCCATCATCGAGGGCTCACTTTTCACCCCAAGCCAAAATGATCCGGCAACAGGTCCGTGATGCTGTCAGCTGGAGGCCGGCCGGGCTCCGACACCGAACACAGCATAACCGTCTTTATTGTCAGCGCCGTAACGATGCCGTGATAGCACAAGCCACGCACACAGACACACCCATCGATCACCCGGACATACACTTGTCGCGAGTCTTTGCCGGCTTCAAACTTGTTCTGGCGCCGGAAAAGCCTAGGGCCTAAGGCTACCTTCCTGACTAGGCATGAGGCTTCGCAATCGGCGTTGTGGTGTGACATGGATTCGGCTTGACAAGGGGGCGGCCGGTGGAGGACCTCGCAAATTTCAGGAACAGGCTACAAGTCGCGTTGCTCGATTTCAGCCTGTCAAGTTGGATCGGATCAGCATTGAGACAATGCTGTGTAATAGAAGCATCTGTCGGTTGTTCTGTTGCATGTCCTTTTGGCTTCAAAGAGCATAAACCGCCCAGGCCAGGAAGGAACATCGCTCCTTGGCCTGTTTGAGCATCGGACAGGCTGCTTGTTGGCGGCCATTGTCATTGGAGAACCAAAGATGGGCACACTGAAGCCGACAGAGTGGTTCGGGACAAGTTGAGGGATGCATGGAGGCGTCTGTCAGGATGTACGATGATGCGATGTCGATGGAATAGGGTGTGTAGAGGCATCTCATGCAGAGGTGCTTCTTTTGGGAATGTCGTGATCCTGAGGGGGCTTGGGGGTCAAGGGAGGGGCACCAGGACCTCAGGGTGCCCTTTGCCCTTTGCCCTTTGCCCTTTCCCCTTCTTCCCGCCAGGTGCCCTGTGCCTGCCCTGGCGCAGGGTCGAGGTTGGGGATGGTGCATGCCCTGGAGCTCAGGGGCCCTCGGCGGGTGTCTTAGTAATCGCCACCTTGCTTGGGGGCCGAATTTCGGAAGGTAAGGCACCAGGCGCCTGGATGAGGTACTCCCCACGCCACCCACGAAACTCCTTCAGCACTTGGTGACAATCACGAAGGACGGCGATTCACTTCGCATCCATTTCATTCGCAGGCAGTGGTGACCTCAATCAGTATGTCACCTTTTTCGGCGCACGATGGCCTATGACTAGGTAGACTCTCACAGGAGACCCAGGGCAGCCGCCTCAATCCTGACATCATCCTTGATGGACTGCTCCCAGGCGTCTTCGCCCTTGGACGGCTTCCACCCCAGCCGGCGAGCAACACTCGGAACCGATCTGGCATTGGCCGCCAGAATTGCTTCGACAATCTGAGAGCCCGCAAGCTTGATCTGCTCTTCCGTGAAGACTTTCACATGAGGCAGGACGGCCCACGCCGCCTCTTCCAGGCCAAGATGCTGGATCTGCCTGTCTGGGAACACGCCGAGCTCATGCCCGGCAGCAGCAATCAGCTCGGCCTGCCGGATCATGGTGTGCCCCGCCGTGCGCGCTGAAGATGATGCCCCTTCTGGCCCGTTGGGAGATTCTGGCCCTCGCTGTCGAGAATGTCGAGCAGGGCGAGTTTGTAGAGATCTGCGAGGTCGGTTATGTGGACGTGGCCGTAGATGTTGTTGCCCGCCTCGACGACAGCCACCTGTCTTCTCTTCACAGCGGTACGGTGGGTGAAGGTCTGGATGCTCGTTTTGTTGAAGATGCCTCTCCCTTCGCCGTAGATGATGGGGCTCATGATGACGAGTGTCTTGACGCCGAGCGCCAGACCTGTATCAATGACGCTGAGCTCTGCCGTGCGCTGAGGGTAGGCGTGCTCTGCCTCCAGAGCCTTCTCGTAGCTGTAGGTATCGTCGACGAGGTCATCGAAGACACGGACCGGGACATCGGGCTTCGTGATAGGCCTGTCGCCAATGTTCGAGGTGCCCGACGTGTGCAGAATCCAGACATCGCGACCCGTCAAAGCCTTCCGCTTAGCCAGACCTTCGACCAGCGCGACCCCGGCCCGAGTGTGGTGGCCGGCTGTGGTGTTGATGACGATGTCGTGCTCGGCAGCAGCAGCGGTGGTGGCGTCGAGGTCGTCGAGCCCTTCATACACAACTGGCTTGACACGATCTCCATACGTCAATGAGAGCTTCTCCGCACGATCAGTACCGCGGAGCAGGCAGGTGATCTGTGCATCTTTGAGGGACGGCTCCGGTGATTCGAGGAGGTGGGTCAAGATGCTGCCCCCGATGAAGCCGGTCGCCCCAGTGAGGAGGATTTTCCTGGTCTCGACAGCCATTGTATCCGCGATGTGTGCCTGATGGTTTGCGTAGTAAATGTGACGGGTTTGATCTTCTTTCGCTGTCCTCTACTTAACGTGTTCTATCTGGTGCTTAACAAGCCTGAGCCGGCAATGGCGCCCTGCGGAGTTGGATGCGGAGTTTTACCAACCGAATCCACAGGTCCGACCGGCTATCCGCATTCGATACAAAGCATACTGCGAAACTGCCGATCTTCTCGGGATGATTTGAAATCAGGCGTGATTCCCATCCTGTTGTGAAGCACTTGTTACCCGTGGTACTCGTGAGCGCCTGTATGTATCTGTCCGGAGACCACAGGAAATACCGAATAGTGTGACAGCCTGGTATGGATGGATGATTTGCGTCCACTCGTCACAGTTTCTCAACCGATTTTGAATAATGTCTCTGATAAACTCCGGTCTTTTTCACTACCAGCGCAGCAGCTCGAGTATGAATGGCGAAATGTCCCGCATCTCGAACAGTGAGACGACCACGGGCGGCATCTTGCCGTCACTAGGGATAGCAGGTTATGTCGAAGGCGTGACTAAAAGTTTCCATGCGTGGTTTAGGGCAGAGTGAAGAGGTCTTCCATACGTAGTCCGCAGGCACTAGGCAATAGGTATAGAATCATGACATATCTGATATCTGGCCCTCACAGCTTGGAGAGCCGTCCGTTGTCCTTATACATACGTTCTCGTAGTCCTTAACCCCTGTTGACCTGTTCCACCCCACCTCTTCCCTGTTTTGTGGCTCTGCAGGGCCACCTGACAGGAAGGAGGGTTTTACTATGTCTAATGGCCATCCTCCTTGTGCATCCCGCCACCTAAGTATCATTGCAAACCGGTAGCCTGGAGGACTCGGGCGTTTGGCGACCCGTGAATATTCGAGGATTTAGAAATGTACAAATCATCCCAGTCTGGGCATGTTTTGCCCAAGGCTACAGAGCTAGTGGACGAAAGAAACGCGGATCGGGCGTGATAATGGACGTTCTGTTGAAGATGTCATTTTCCTTAATAACATTGTTGCCGTTTCCCGCGACCCAGGTCTTTGTCCTGTCTCTTGACAGTGTAAAGCCGTCTGTTCCTAGCAGTGTACTAGTGGCGATAGTGCCCTCAAGACCTGGCGGCGTTCCGCAGGCGAAGGAGATGAGAACACTGGCGAATGAACCCTGGTCCAGGTTGGCACGTTGCCCTGCTATCTAAGGTCACGGCGACAGGAGGTATCAGGCAAGGCGAGAGACTTGTTGAATGGTAGCTAAACCAGCGGAGGTGACTAGCAAGTTGCCATCGTGTTGGATAGCCATGTTTTCAACGTTTGGAGCAGTATCCTCAACCTTAAACACAGACAGGCCGTCCGTCTCCGTGGTCGTTGGGACTGCCCATGAGCAGCTCGAGAGTAAAAGGCAGAGCCCAAGACAAGGAAAATGTGTAACACTGGCATCTTTTAAGGTGTCCCTCGCGTCAATATGCAGAAGTTTCGTAAATATTGAGAGGGCTTCACTACTTATATAAACCCTAATCTAGTACTTCCGCTATGCTTGCGAGCTCTGAATAGGTAGGGTATCTAATAAGTCTTATAATAGTTGATTCTTATGTAATTCTTATCTACTTCTCTGAGTTATTACTACCTATATAAGTTAGATATACCTATCTACTCTTAGCGATTACGTGAACCGTAGTTCACGTGCTCCTAGGAGTAATAGATCCTAGATATCCTAGATACCTTAAATATTACTATCCTAACTATAGAGTTCCTTAATATTAATTTAATATTAGCTCTTCTTTTCTTTATAAATAGAATAGCCGTAAGAACTAATATTAAGAGCTATCGCTAGGGTTAATAGCTACTTTAATATACTTATAATTCTCTAGTCTTTAGCGTATTAGATCTACTCTTTTAGTCTTAAAGTAAATAACCTAATAATAGGAAATAATAGGAAATAATAATTAGAAATAAGGAAAATATAGCTTAAGCTTATTATTCCTATAAGCGTTAGGCCTCTAATTCCTAGCGCTTTAGAATAATAGTATTATCTATAAATAGCTCTTTAAAGAAATAAACTAAATTATAATTTAAATAATAAGAATAGGCCTCTAAATCCTAGAAATAAAGGAAATAAATTAGAATCTAATAATAAATAACGCTCTTATAATTATTAAATATATACTCCTAAGGCCTTTAAATCCTTAATATATTAATAGAATATAATAGAATAATTATTAGCTTTTTATAGAATCCGCTAGAATAATTCTTAATAAATTAAACTATTATTTAATAGGAATAATAGGATTAAATTACTTTAATTAAATAAATTTTATAGAAAATCTATATATTTTATTAATAAGTTTTAGTAACTCTATTCTATTAACCTTTCTTTCTCTTTATATCGATTTCTTTAACTTTTATAGGCTAGTTTAATATATATAAATAATATTTATATAATTAATAAATACTTATTTTTATTATTCCTATTTATTCGTTTTCTTCTTATTTTAGCTACGATAATACCTCCTAAGTATAAGACCCCTACGCTTAAGCCCCTTAAAGCTAAGAGAGTAACTAAGTATAAGAATATAGTTAATATTAATTATAAGAGCTATTAATCTAATATATAGTATATATATATAGTAATATTCGTAAGTTCCCTATCTAGGTTATTTTAAGTCTTATCTTTAATAAGTAAACTAAAATTAGCGCTTTAAGTATTTATTATAACCTTAATCTTAAAGGATCTTATTATTATAAATATACCTCTAAGTATTCCTATAAGCTAATATAAGCTTTTACGATCTATATTTTATATATTTATAGCTTTAATAAGTATTATTTTTAATCCTATTAATATATTTAAATTTATTATAAAGTTTTTAGCTATTTATAATAAAAAGAATTAAGCTATAAATTCCTATTCCTTTCTATTCCTTTAATTATTTAATTATATAATTAGCTAATAATATAATTATAGGATCTAGAGAAATAGTATATTATTATTAAGGGTATATTATAGATTATTAAAGAAGAGGATATTAAAAGGGGTAATAACCTGTTACGACCTGGCAGCTTCCGAAGGGGGAACACTGTCAGAGGGTTGGGGTTGCTGTTTGCAGAAGCTTAGGTTGTGACTCTGAGACGATGTGGTGTCGTAAGGCGTTGCGCACTCGTTACAATGAATACAAGGTAAGACTTAGATTGATCACTGTCGTGAGAAAGAATGTATCTACAAGTCCAGAATGTCCGTCCTTATATACCTGCCATCCTGTCCTTGTTGTGTTAGGTGGTGAGCTCATGTTGGATGGCTCACTGGTTAGTTGTTGGTGATCCATGATGTTAGGATCACGGTGTGTTATCCCGTGAGCCATTCCCTGGCTCACTGCGGCGTCCTTGGTGAGCCCGACGACTCACCCTTTATGTCTGAGTGAGCCATCACGTGATTTGCCAGGTGGGCCCGATTCTTATCTTATCGCGCTCCCTGATCGCGGGGTCGTCGATTCGCGGCCGCCCTGCTTCCTTGGTTGTTACAATTATATAAACGTTTATTAGTTCGCTTTCGGGATTAGATTTATAAGGATCCTCTATTCTTAGCCCTTTTAAATCTTCGGAATCTAAGCTCTTAATAAGCTTTATAATTATTAAGAATTAATAATATCCCTTTTATTAATCCTTATACGCTTTTTATATATATTTCTATTACTCCTTCGAATATTATTATTCCTTAAGAGAGTACTTCGTCGATTTATAGTCTAATTTAGAATATATCTAGTATTTATAAATTCTAGTCTTAGAATCTTAGCGATCGTTAATTCTATGAAACGATTATTCTCTACGATCTCCCCTTCTATTAATTTAGCGATAGCTATTTCCGCCCCTATAATACTTATTAATATAGAAGTACTTAAACGTTCTAATATTCTCCTTTACCTTTAATATATTCTTAAGCTAAATAGATAATATATTAAAAGATCGTTCTAGCTTTATTAATATAATCTTTAGCTCTAGGACGCTTTAAATTACTTTTAGAATATTTATATAGAGATAGGTCTCTTCCTAGAACGCTAAATTAAATATTCTCTAATACTATTAAAGCTTATCTAGAAGGATCTAGAGAACTTCTATTCTTAGCTTTCCTATATTTTTAGGCTTTATAATAATAGAATTAAACGTTATAGAGTTCTAATTTATATAATATTAAGCTCTATTAATCTCTAAATTAAATTATTATTTAATCTTTAAATATATTTATTAAATTCCTATACTCCTATTTATATATTCTAAGAAGAAAACTTATATATACCTTAAAAATATATTTAAGAAGAATATATAGAGCTATATATATTAGATTTATAAAAGCTTATATATATCTATAAAGATATA